CAAAGTTTATTTGGGGGTTAAGTTTCAAGTGATATCGACGATAAGTCTCAGGGCGGTACAACCTTCTTGCAATCGATTCTGGCTTTATGGCATGACGACGAACGAAACCCTTTCAAGTCAGATGTTGATGTTTGCGACTTTGGTACACTCCGACTCTAGTTCCACCGACGTTCCAGCCCTTCTACCACAAACTTACTTTAACTGGTATGCCCAACTGCTAGTCTGCCAAAACCGTTGCAAAGAAGGCTAAATGGAGGCCCAGATGCGAGAAGGCGGTTGCCCCCAGGGCCGGGAAACGGCCCAACGCCTTTTACTCGCCAGTCAACGTCGACATCAAAGCCCCAAAATGCTTGCCCGGCTAGCATCAAGAGGGTCAGAGCTCGCTGTCAATCATCGAGTAACCGGCCTCATATTTACCGAGAGATACTTCAGAGAGCTTGACACCAAATGAAAAGGAAGCGGGAAATGGACAACACAGAAATGTGTAAAACATATTTTTTCCTAGCCACATACCCTACCCTCAGCTTTTCTGTTGAATCGAAACGCATTTCCTGTGGATACCTGTAGAATAGACCGAAGCCCTGACCATGTTTTTCCCCTTAAGAGCGCCAAGTTTACTGAAGCACATTTCAATGAAATGTAGCCCTCATGCCGTGCCAAATAGGGTACTTCGTCATCCCCGCAAATCCTAGCCCATGCAATGCCTTAAATCCAGTGACTTCAGTTTATTTATTTGCTTCACTTTATATATTTATTTATGTACTAGTTATTATTAATGTTATGTATGTGTATTTCATTTAACGAATTAATTGCTGCTAATAATTATTTTTTTTCAGTTTATTTAATTTATTATTATTATTTATTAATTTGTTCCATTTATTTTATTTTGCTAGTTTAAAGACACAAAATACTACCAAGAGATCATATATACGAGATTTACTGACCCTATTTCTCTCAGGTAATGGAGGACTGATAATTGAATTTTCCTACAATAAAATTAGCAGGCTTTACGTTCCCAGTAAATTTCACAGAGTAGTCTTATCCGGTCAAGAGTAGACTGCAGCCTCGACTTCGCCTGAACTGGTCTAATCAGCATCCCCAGCGGGACTCTAATCTGGACTGGTACAGTACAGGATATGATCTCGACACTTTAACCACTACACCACAGTGCCACGAGTGCTCTTGGGTGATGGTACAGGTGGGCATTTGAAGGAGGGCCCGACATTTTCCCATATCGCATTCTGTGGTGGGATTGTATTTAAACAAAGTTGTATTTAACATAGCAATCGACTAGATTACTTTTTTTCACAAGTAGGTTTTCGTCAATGATATGGGAAATTGTCTGGCATATTTGAAATGATCATTCACCCTGTGAACCAAAAGCCCTAGTGGCAGTATTAGCTAGTGGGTTACTTGTCGAGATTATACGCTGCACTGTCATGGTTCGAGTCCCGCTGGGGGTGCTGAGAAGTTCAACGCCAGGTCAAAACTACGATTCACTTGTGCCTGGACGAGAATAACTTTTATTACAATTTAATGTATAATTCAATGGAAACATAAGGTATACTCATGTCATTGTGTGAAAATTAAACTACCATTCCTTCATCACCTTAACTAAATAGAGTGAATAAATTGCATAGATGTGATATGTATTTAAGTACCTGACAATTAAGGTAAAAAGAGGATTTAGTGGTCGAAGAATTTCTGTTTATGTAGGACCTTCTTAATGATTTCTGGAAGAGATGGACAATTTTAAGTAACTTGTCTCTTTTCTCCTGCCATAAATCGGAGAATAAAGCAATGTCTTGTATGGATTCTGAATTATGGCTATTTCGTTTGTGATTATGATTGCGATTAGAGTATATGGACCATTTATTTTTTTAGCGGACTTAGACAGTTCAAAAGCTTCTATAAAATCGTTGCAAATTACACCAAATGCTTCAAGTACAGGTCATAATATGCTCTATTTTGGCTCAGAAGGCTAATGACATTCTTTATTAGCTGTGGGCTATATTTTGTGAAATATTAAGCGGACCAGCATGGTTTAGTGAAGAGTATAAGAATAGTATTGTTGAGCTCACTTACGTTTTGAGTGAAAGTGAGTTATGAATATATAAGAAGGTCAGTCCCACTAGAAAACGACAGTGGAGGCCAAGTCGGCTTTACCGGAACATTCTGGCTGAGGCCGTCCCAGAGGCAATCTGCGTTGAATCTGGTGAAAACGTGCTAACCTTTCGTCTGTCATGTGACAGGCATTCTATATTATAACCATAAATCTATGCATTTTTATGAGATATAAAGGGATATGGTTAGTTTAAGTCATATGTCAGTCTATTCTCGTATGCTTTTATCTGCCTGTGTGTACGAATTAAGGAACAATGGCTCAAAGTAATCTGAACACAACACAACATCTGTCCTCTGTCAACAAATTGTAATGACCACCACCAACCTC